AGCCCGAGCCCGAGCGCTGCCCGGCGGCGAGGTGAGTGCATGGTTGCAGCGCCTGCTCGGAGGGAGCCGGGCTGCGCGCGAAGGGGGCGTGGGGTCCTCTGCTGCGTGCCTGGTGGGCGCGGAGCATCCAGACCTCCGGCGGCGGCGGCGGCGGCGGCGGGAGGGGCGCGGTTGCAGCCCGGGACCCTGCGCTTGGCTTCCGCGCGACCCCTGCCCGGGCACCGAGGCCAAGCTCCCGAGCAAACCCCGGCTCTTGCACTCCTGCTCCCGGGGGCCCTTGCTGCAGACTTCCCCCGCTTGCCTCCAGCCGCTGCCGCCGCCGCCGCCGCCGCAGCGCGGGCTGGGCTCTGTGATCTGACTGAAGGGAGGTGGTCCCTCTTTTTTCCTTCTTCCAGGAAAGGAGAGGCGTCGTGCCCCTCCGCTCTTTCGCCCCTTCGCACTCCGCCTCCCAGCCTGCTGTCCCTAGGGAGAAGCTGCGCTTAAACTGCGGACAGGGTTCCTTGCTAAGATCTTTTTACCGTCCTTTGGCGACAGCCTGGTGAGGGTTAGTGTGTGAAACTTTGCTACCGCAGGAACCTCCAGGGTGGAACTTTGGTGCCCAGAGTATCTGTTGCATTCTCTTTCATTGAAGCTCTGTTAACTACTTATAAACGCCTTTAATTTTTAATTGGGAGGCACACTCACCGTGCCCTGTTTTTTGTGTTTGAATGCTCCCTCACTGCCGGTCCTTTGCATCCCAGGAAAAGCTTTGGCTGCCCCCTAGCCCCTATAGTGAACACAGTCCCACAGCTCCTCCCGGTTACGGTCCTGCCCTATAATCCCAGGAAGAAGGCAGTTAAATAGCTTTGCTTTTTCCTGCTTGAAGAAATAGCAAATTTATAGCTTAGTGAGATCTGGACACAGGAGCCATTCACATCCTTACTTGTCACCACTGGGTTGACAGAGAGGAATTTTGTTTTTTTCCCCGAAGCTGTGAAAGCCGCTGCTTTATGTTTTTTAATTCCAAGATAGTTCTGTGACATCTTAAGGGGCAGTCTCTTTAAAAACTTAAGACAAAGTGCTATGAGAATTCTTCCAACATTTTTTAGAAGTTTTGTATCAGAAAGTTCGTAATTTTCCTAATATATTGAGTGGTTGAGCAGTTTGGACTCCTGGACACGTTATTTTTAGAAATAATAAACGCGAGCTCTTAATGCCTGAGTGTGTTGCCGCTTTACAACAGTCTTATGAGTTAATTCTGCTATCCATCTCCTTTACATAAGGGGAAACTGAGGCCAAAGGTAAATAGCATATATAAAGATTAACAGCTGGTAATAAACAAAGGTCTGGCCGCATAGTTTGTGCTTTAATTATCACGAGGAAGAGATGATTTCATATCCACAGACCCGACGTTGTAATTCTGTGTAACTGTACTCTGGGGGGTGGGGTTGGGGGGGATGGACGTGAATGTTGTTAGGTAGAGGTTGAGAAGGGCAGAGGGATTTAAAAAAAAAAAAAAACTGCTGTGAAAATGCTACTTTTCTATTGATAAAGCAGACTTGCTTTCCGGCCAGGATTCTGTCTCTTTGTTATAATAAAAATAGGTCAGGATAATGGGTCCCATCCAACTTGAAGTGAACAGCAGTGTACAGAACAAGAAGATCTTTGAAATATCTTTCTTAGCAACGTTGCAGTTAATTTTACAATAGCAAAATCTGTGAAGCAGATTCCCGGGTAAAGCTGTTGCTTTGCCTTTTTGCTGCAGTCATCGACACTACCCCCTCTTCCATAGGCAGGGGTGACCTCTGGCACGATTGGCCATCGAGCTGTGGTAAGCGGTGTTGCAGGGGAGCCCCAGTTTCTCTGTGCGGTCCACATTCTTAACTATTTCCAAGAGGCTCACTGCGTACGTTCAGAATATGCCCAGCGCCGCCTCCTAACGCAATGGAGACCACGACTATGTTCTTCGGTGTTACCAGGTTAGCTGGCTTTCTGACAGGCCAGAATAAAGCTTCTGGCATTGTTCATCGGCTGTACGTGTGTGTCATTGATCAGGAAGGCCGTATTAGCGCACAGGTCTTTTGTGGGAGTCAGGCCTGTACATGTTGGCCTCCGAAGCTGTATGGCAAGCACAGCACGGGCAGATGCCAGCGCCCAGGACGTCTGCTGTGGGTGCGCTCTGCTCCTGCTCCTGCCTCGTGAGTTATGCAATGATGGGAGAACAGAAAACAGGTTGCCAGCTGACAGTGCCTTGTCATAGTTTTAGTAGTGCTGATTGTCCACTGTGGGTACTTCTGATCCCTCTTTTTGGTAAAGAATTCTCGAAGAGGATTCCACTTGTTCTTAGAGAGTAAACTTTGGAATAAATAAATATTCCTATTTGTTTTTCAAGCATCTGGGTCAGTTTTAAGAGGATCCTGAAACTGCTTAGGAGAACTATTAGAATTAATTTGAAGCAACTTACTTTTGTGATTTTTTTAAAAAAAATTTTTATATTTGTGCATTTACAAGACAGAATACATTTGCTATTAAGTCTGATACAGTGTTCCTGGCTATTGCAACCTTTGCGTTAAAATAGTTACGTTGAATATGGCCTCATTGTTCTTATCCACTAGCTTTCTAAGTGCATGTCAGTAAATCTCTTTATACCCTTTTCTAGCCAGTGGTTTTCTTATTTTCTCCGTGTAGTGTGGCTCTCTCCTAAGTTCATTTGTGAAAGTAGGATGTACTTCTTAAACAGTATTTGAGTATCCTCACTCCTCGGCAGTCTGGTCTAGCTGTCTGTCATCTCGAATCCCCACCTCGGGCTCGTTGGTGTCTGTCTTGATTCAGGATGTCACCTGTTACTAATCTTGTGGAGCTCCGGACTGTCTCTGCATCAGGTGTGTCTCTTACCTAAACCACTTTGGGTGGCAGTAGGTGCCTTTGCAGGGGCCACTTGAGACAGCAAGGGGCAGCCAGCTGACAGCAGTGACCTAGGGCTCAAGCAGTGGCAGAAGCTGTATGCTGGCGTGGGTATGACTTGACTGTCCCTGGTTCCTCACTTCTCCAGGTCTCTTTGTTTCCCTCCTGTGTATCCTCTTGGTGCCTTGAAAATCCTGTTCTGAACTCTACTGAAAGATGGGGATACACGGGTCTTTCCTACTCAATGGATAGATGGCCTTAACTTCCTGCCAGTCAGTTCCTCATTCCTCACAGGTTATCTGTCCATAGCATTCTCCTGTCTCCATCTTCCCATTAGATCAGGTGACATGGGTTCTGCTTAAGGACTGTGTAATGTTGTTTACAAGTCGGCAGGCTGCTGGAAATAGTTTCTCAAAGGGACAATGGAAGCAATGTTAGGCCACGAGATTGGCTGACAGTTGTAGGTCTTCCTAGGCTTGTGCCACATTGGCAATGAGCAAGTCCAGGTGCTGGGCCTCAGCTTGTTGGGCATAGTGTATCAAAGTGACTCTGGCCTGTAGAGAATCAATCTATCTATCTATCTATCTATCTATCTATCTATCTATCTATCTATCATAATCTATCTATCTATCTATCTATCTATCTGTCTATCTATCCACACACATACACACACACACATACACACACACACACACACACACACACACACACACACATACATATATATGGTCCTTGACCCCATAATTAGCGCTAACAGGCTGGGGAGGTAGGCTTGCCCATCTTGGTCACAGCCATTGCTTCCTGTCTGAGGGACAAGGGTCTTTCTCTTAGGTGTTCCTCTTTCTTGACTTGACGTGGGTAACTTTCCCCACCCCTTGTCACAGATTTCCCTTGGTTGGGTTACATAGTTTGTTTTTAATCTTTAGTCTTACTCTAATTAGATCATGGCAGCCTTTGTTTCTTTTGATTTAATTTGGGCTATAGGAAGTCCTTATCCATAATTGTTAGGAAACCCTCGGTGGTAGAGTAGATATTTTTTCTCTCTTCATAATTCCCCCGTCTCCCACAGAGAGTCCTTTGGAATAGTTTCTGACAAGGTGTGGTGAGGAAGTCAGTGCTTGGTAAGTTCCTAGCTGCTTTTGAGTATTCTGTTCATAAAGGACCATGATAGTGTGTGGTTTTTCTGGATTTAAGTCCACTTTTTAAAAGTTAATTAGAATTCTGTCACTGTTAAAAACCATGTTGTTAAAGAATGTGTAGTGACATGGGAAATGTCACAGAGGAAGTCTTTTTGGTGGGTCTTGACTACCTATTTTTAGAAAGATCTCCAAATACCTCTACCGTCTGATGTGCCCTCCTTTGAACTCAGTGTAGGGAGCGGATTACCAACAGGATTTGGAAAGGACAGTTCTGAGCTGAGGAGCTGCTCAGTTCCCAGTTGTCTCCTCCTGCCTCCCACTGGAAGCACCCGTCTCCCCTGCAGGAATAGACTCCGTACCCACCTGTGGCCTTCGGCTTATCTTCTAAGGCTGCTCACGTCAGAGCTGGGTCAGGAAATTCCCATTGGATGATTGAAGTGCATCCTATGAAGTCGAGCTGAGAGCTAACTCCCCAAAGCTGTGGCCAGCCTCAGAGAGGTTTGGTTTCAGGTGGTGATGTGAACCCCCAGAGAAGGGGAGAGATTGGAAGAGTCCTTGGCAAGTTATTCCCCTGTATGCCCAGTTGGTCTTCCCTTTGCTCTTGATTTGACCTGTAAACTAGTAAGTCCTCCCTCCCTCCTCCCTTCTGTATGCGTGTGTGCGCGTGCACCTGTGTGTGCACGTGTGGCCGCTAGGGGTCGGTGTTGAGTATCTTCTGTTGCTTTCCACTGTAGATTTTGGGACAGTTTCTCACAGAACCTGAAGTTCTCCATTTCAGCTAGATTGGCTGGCTACTGAACTCCTTGTATCTTCCTGTCCCCCCACGACCCTAGCACTGGGGGTGCAGATATCCATTGTGCCTGGCCTTTATGTGGGTGCCAGGAATCTGAACTCAACTCCTCATGGTCACATAGCAGACACTTTACTCACTGAACCATCTTCTCAGCTCCTTAATTCTCTATTTTTTTTTTTTTTTTTTTTTTTTTTGGTTTTTCAAGACAGGGTTTCC